AATGTGGTAAAAGTGGCCAGGTGACGTTACTATGAGCTAATGTGTTTGCTTTTTTACCTTTTCTTTCTTTCTTTCTTTCTTTCTTTTTTTTTCTCTAAGAATTTTGTTTGTTTGTTTTTAGTCGTGCTTGGTTTGGGAAAGGTAAAGTGTAGGTTTTGAATTAATAGTTTTTTTTAGTAGAAAAATGTAAGTATAAATTTGATATTTTTTGAAAGTTAAATAGAGGTCATTGGTATAAGATTATAAATAAGAGCTGTGATAAGCTTTATTTGGTGCAAAGAAACCTCATTCTAATTGTACAGAGTAAAGGAAGAAAGCATGTTCGAACAGACCCAGGCATATCACTTACCACAGCAAAAGTTAATTAAAATTCCCTTAGAGGAAGTAAGGAACCAAAATTTGTACAAAAGAAAGGGTTACATGTCCTCAGAATGAAAGGATGCCGGAGCCACTTGAATAGAGATGCCCGCTAGCCATGTTAGTCCTCTGTGCAGTTCAGAAGAGGGAGGAAAGACAGGCTGAAACCATTCTGAAGGTGAGTGGGAAGAAAGCTGCTTGTTCTGAAATGTGGTGACTGAAGGAATGTCTATGTCCCTCTTCAAGACCCAATGCACAGAAGAATGCCACCAGTAAGGATGAGCAACTGCACTGGAACCAGCTGCTCTGGGTTTGCCAGTTGCACTTTTCTGCCCTCACTTGGCTAAGTTTATATGGATGTGGAGTATTTTATTGAGATTTACACACACACACACACACACACACACACACACACACACACATATAGTATTTATTTATTTATTTATTTATTTATTTATTTATTTATTGGGGAGGGGAGACAACAATGTGGAAGAGAAATATTGGTTGCCTCTTGCATGCACCCCAATCGAATCCACAACCTGGGTATGTACTCTGACTGGGAATTGAACCCTCCACCTTTTGGTGTTTGAGATAATGCTCCAACCAATTGAACCACACTGACCAGGACTAAATTTATATGGTTTTGTTTAGAATCATGGTAACAGAAATTTCATGTCTCTACGTCTGGGCTAGAATATCTTTCTAGTTGTAGTCCATGTTCTTCCAAGCAGCAGAACCAGTGGTGTGTGCATGCACATGGGTACACAGAGAGTGCATATAGACCCTGAGGAGAGCTGATGTGGCAGCTAGAAAGGCAGAACTGCTTTTTTCAGGGAGAAGAGTTTTTCTTAAGCCTTCAGCTAATTGGACATGGCCCATCTATTATGGAGGAGTCTGCTGGTTCACATGATTTTCTACAAAAGTCCCTTAATAGGAAAAAAAGTGGAGTAGCAACCTGAGTGCTGCAGCTCAGCTAAGTGACATTAAAATTCCCCATCATGCTGGTGCTGATGCTGTGCTTGCTTCCAGTTTGGTAGTGAATCACAAATGGTGCATGTGACTGAATGCCTTCCTCTGCAAGGTTGGAACCCACCTCTGACTTGGCTGTGAGAAAGCTTGGTCTGTACCCAGCATGGATCATAGGACTTTATGCCTAAGATCAAAAGATAGGTAATTGATTGTCTCTGATGAAACACTGCTATAAAATTCCTATATTCCAAAGGAAATGTAAATCACTGTCACCAGTCTTTTTCCACAGAGGGCCAATTGGATGTAGTGGCACATTCCCAGGGATTATGAAAAGATCTTGAATTTCCCTTTTTTTCATGTTTGAGTGTTATTACTATTTTTAATTTACAGACTCGATGGTACTTCATTAAGTTATTTTCTTCTCTTCCACGGAAGTTTACATGCTCTGCATGGAACCTTTGTCTTCCTGGTGATACAGGTTGATTCCTTCCCGTGAACAGTATTGAACTTAGCTCTTGGCTCTGTCCTTTCTCTCCTTTGAATATAAGGCAGTCTGTTCCCGGCTGTATGGACTGTTTCTACCCTACAGTTCTTCCTCTCCTGTAGAGGAGTGTTAACTCTGCTGTCAGAGCAGATAACGGTTACACACTGTTCTAGTTCTTGTTCCCAGGATTGTCCTGCAGTCAGACCCGCTCAGGGCTTATTCTTGGCCGCAGGCTGAATCTTTCCCCAAATGTTCCTTGAGTATCAGACTCTGTCCTGCGACTTCTGAAGGAAGCATCTGTGAAATCAAGTGTTCCCCGAAATATCACACACTCACGTGTCTGTGGCCTTTTACTTTTGAGGTCAGTATAGAATTCTTGGTGTAATAAAATCTTTGGGTACATTTTCTTTCCTGCGAACCTAAAGTTTTTTATCCCCTTGTCTGTGGCCCATAGTGTTGCTGTCACATTCTGATTTCCCTTCCCTTACACATAATGTCATTCTTCTGCCTAGGTGCCCAAACGAGGCTGTTTTCTTTAAGGTGAACTTGCTTTACTAGAATGTCTTAAGTGTCTGTAGCTCTGTGTGCATTTGTACATTTTAACTCTCTTATTTCAGGAAAATGTGACTGAGTTATTTCAGTATTCTGTTTCTTCGGTGTTAGTTTTGGGTAATTCTGTTTAATATTGAAGTTGAAATTTCGTATCTGTCACCATCTCTTAATTCTTACATTTTTTTGCCTCATCTTTACATTATCTATTATTTCCCTTATGTAGTTCCAGAGTGTCTATTTCTTTTTCTATTCCTCGAGTTAAGTAATTCTGAAATGTTTTCAAGTGTTGCTTGTTTCCTGGCGTGTGCCTGGTTCTCCTCATGCCTGGTAGAGCTGTCTGGTTGCTGAGGTGAAGCCCTCTTTCATGGTCTCTGTGTGTGCTTAATGTTAAGTGGTAGTTTCCTCTCCTTGAGAGCTTAGTTTGGGTCTGCCTCCATTGCCTGTTGGCGCATCATTCCAATTGTTAGTGTCATCCTGATGTGTTGATTCCATACAATCCTCTCCTTAATCCTGTAGATGATAGGGTGAGACCATCCCAGGTCAGCCACAGCTGCCTGTCTCTTTGCCTGTGGCATACTTGAAAATAGAGCCTCTGAGTAGTTTTGATGAGACCTTTTGAGGTCTGCCTCCTTTGGAACTTGCCCTCAGCTTCTGAACCTCCTTCCCTTTGTCCTGTGGCCCCATCCTTCTCATTAGGATACTGTCCCCAGCAGGGCATCCTCAGTGCAGGCTCCGCCTTCCTGAAAGGCAGTGGGCTGGGTGTTGGCAGAGCCTGGAGGGCTGGGGCAGCCCTGTGTTTTCTGTCTCCACACACTGCATGGAACCTTGGCAGCCTTTCTCAGTCTGCTGAAGTTTTCCTTCCGGCGGGTCCTCCGCATGGTGTCCCCATCTTGCTTAGGTAAAGTTCCAGGCTTCGTCGAGGCAGTTCTAATGGTTTGCTGTAACCTGTTTCTCTGTGTCATAAAACACTAACATTTACCAAACTGGTCTATTTAAAATATATTTAATTGTGGTTTTAAATATTACAGCCTACAATAAATTTGTGGAGTTTTTTTTAAGTGTATTTGTGTTGTGCCAGTTGTTCCTAACTTTTATTCATGATATACCTGATAAGAGCTTTATACCATAAAAGTGTGGGAGGGACCCTGGCTGCTGTGGCTCAGGGGTTGAGCACTGACCCAAAAACCAGGAGGTTGCTGGTTCAGTTCCCTGGTCAGGGCACATGCCCAGGTTGTGGGCTTGATCTTCAGTAGGGGCCGTGCAGGATGAGGTCCTCTCATTGATATTTCTCTCTATCCCTCTCCCTTCCCTCCTCTCTAAAAATCAATAAAAACATATATATTTTTTAAAATGTGGGAGCTTGTATTCAGGCCAAGTTTTGCCCCCTTTGGGTATCGTTGGATATCTAGGTGAAACAAATTTTTTTTTTCCTGATAGCAAGAGCTAGATGTATTATTTGTAAACATTGTATGTAGATTTTTCAATTGTTAATAATCCAGAAAGAATGTAGTTTGGTATTGTCCCAATAACTTTTAATATGTAAGTATTTGTGACAAATGTGTTTAAGATTATATTTTCTAGAGAAGTAATGATGTATAATAAGCGAATATAAGCCCACCTGAAATGCAGTTTTAAGAATAAACTTCAGCACTAGCTGGTTTGGCTCAGTGGATAGAGCGTCGGCCTGCAGACTCAAGGGTCCCATCTTCGATTCCAATCAAGGGCATGTACCTTAGTTGCGGTCACACACCCAGTACGGATTGTGTAGGAGGCAGCTGATCAATGTTTCTCTCTCATTGATGTTTCTAACTCTCTATCCTCTCCCTTCCTCTCTGTAAAAAATCAATAAAATATATTTGAAAAAAAATGTACTGTTTAAGCCTGAGGGGTGGGGATGCAAAATTATGAGAGCGTTAGAATGGATGAAATTACTAAGTAGTTACACATTTCTTTCTAATTTTCTTTTTTTATGTTTTTAAATTTTTACTGAAATTTTTTTTTTAAGAGAAAGGGAGAAGGGAGAGAGAGAAACATTGATTGACTTCCTCTACACAAGCGGCCCCCGCCGCCACCACCATCACCACCACCACCACCACACACACACACACACACACACACACACACACACACTCTCTGGGGATGGATCCCTCAACTGGACATGTACCCTGACTGGAATAGAACTGGTGACCTCTCTGTCTATGGGACAATGTCCAACCCACTGAGCTACACCAGCCAGTACTATGCTATTTTTGTTTTTTATTAGAAATGGACTTATATTCAATTATAAGGCTATATACATGTGCCTCTTTCTTTGATTAACTGGGGTAATTGTGAGTTGATTATACTAGGAAACTTGGCTGAAAAACTGATGCTTAATATTGGGGCTTGAGTTGCTCCTGAGTAGTAAGGTTTTTCTGCCTGTCCACACTGGGGGTGCACAAGAAGCTCCTACTGCCAACCAGCCGTGGGCACATGGTGGTAGAGAAGAACCCCCAGCTGTGAGCACCCTCCTTGCTGTGGGTCTGCCTGCCAGCATCGTTAGCGAGCACAGTGTGCTGGTCTAGGGAGAGCTGTATTAGATCCAGTAGTGCATATCTTTGAGCTGATACCTTACGTGTCTGTGTATGTGTGAATACAGAAAACACCGGAGCAGCGTGGGGCCGAGCAAGCCCGTGGCCCAGCCTCGGCGGAACATCGTAGGCTGCAGGATTCAGCATGGGTGGAAGGAGGGCAGTGGCCCTGTCACCCAGTGGAAAGGAACCGTTCTGGACCAGGTGCCTGTAAACCCTTCCTTGTATCTTATAAAGTACGATGGATTTGACTGTGTTTATGGACTAGAACTTAATAAAGATGAAAGAGTTTCTGCACTTGAAGTCCTCCCTGATAGAGTTGGTAAGTTCTCTTTACTATTTCTGTGTTTATATGCTTTAAAGATAATTAAATGAATGCTTTCTGATTATTCTGTATTATTAGTATTTTAATTTTTATTGGAGCACAAGCATTCTATTTAAATCATTCACCTAATACCACAAAAGTTGATCAGTGCATGTTCTAAAGCTACAGTTCAAGGAACTGTGAGGGATATAAATACAGTGGTTGGCAAAAGTAGATTTATGGTTTGTATGGAAGAAGACATGCAGGTTATGATTATAACTGTGGCTTTATTAACACTAGAGAATGCCACTCATAACTAACTGCAGGAAAACAGACTTTGTTGTTTTTTAATCTTCACCAGGATGTTTTTATTAGTTTAGAGAGAAAGGGAGAGAGAAACATTGATTGGTTGCCTGCCGTATTTGCCGTTACTAGGGATCAAACCCTAAACTAGGTATGTGCCCTGCCCAGAGATCAAACTCGCAACCTTTTGGTGTGCGGGATGCTGCCCATCCAGCAGGGCAAGACCAACAGATTTGACAGACTTTTGTTGTGGTAAGAAACACAACATAAAATTTACTACTTTAACTATTTTTAAGGTTACAGTTCAGTAGTGTTACAGATATTCATTCACATTGTTGTGACACAGATCTTTAGAACTATTTCATCTTGTAGATCTGTAATTCTATCTCTCCCTTGAACAACTTCCCTTTTTTCTCTCCCCTTAACTCCTGCACCCACCATTCTAGTTTCTGTGTCTGAGTTTGGTTACTTTATATACTTCATTAGTCTTACACAGTGTTTGTCTTTGTGACTGGCTTCTTTCTCTCAGGGTAATGTCCTCAAGGTTCATTCACGCTGTAGCATGTGTCAGGCTGTCCTTTTCATGGCTGAATACTGCTCCATTACATGGATAGACCTTGTTTTGTTTATCCATGTGTGGACACTTGAGTTGCTTCAACCTTTTGGCTGTTGTGATCAATGCTGCTATGAACATGGGTGTACAAATATCCCTTCGGGACTCTGCTTTCAGTTCTTTTGGTGTATACCCAGAAGTGGAATTGCAGGCTCATATGGTACTACTTTGTTTAATTTTCTGAGCAACATACATAGAATTACTGCTTTCCATAGTGTTTATAACATTCTACAGTCCCACCAGCAGTGCACTGGGGTTCCAGTTTGACTACATTCTCACCAATGCTTTCATTATTTTCTGTTGGTTTTGATTTCCATTTCTCTGATGATTAATGATTTTGAGCATCTTTTCCTATGTTTTTTGTCCATTGGTATGTAATTTTAGCAGAAATATCTACTAAAGTCCTTGCCCATTTAAAAAAAATATATTTTATTGATTTTTTTTACAGAGAGGAAGGAAGAGGGATAGAGAGTTAGAAACATCAATGAGAGAGAAACATCGGCAGCTGCCTCCTGCACACCCCACTGGGGATGTTCCCGCAACCAAGGTACATGCCCTTGACCGGAATCAAACCTGGGACCCTTCAGTCCGCAGACCAACGACGCTCTATCCACTAAGCCAAACTGGTTTTGGCTCCTTGCCCATTTTTTTATCAGGTTATTTGATTTTATTGTGGTTGTTGAGTTGTAGGAGTTCTTTATATATTCTAGAGATAAATGGGTTTTAATTTAAATAACAGTATGACAAATTTATTGATAATGATTTTAGATTCTACATTGCATTTAACCTTTAAGGAGAGATGTGATATAGTATGATAAAAGACTATATAGAATTATATGAAAAGATTAATAAATCAAAAGAATATATAACAGATTGAATGTTAAAGCAGATATAAGAATCTAGCTGTCCACTTTTCGTACTAAGTTTTTGTTAGAAGATAGTTATTTTTCACTAAAAATATGTTTATATACATGGCCAGCGTGGCTCAGTTGGTTGAGCATGGTCCCATGCACCAGGAGGTCGCAGGTTCAATTCCCAGTCAGGGCACATGCCCAAGTTGTGGGCTCAATACCCAGTAAAGGGATATGCAGGAGGCAACCAACCGATGATTCTTTCTCATCAATGTTTCTTCCTCTCCCTCTCCCTTTCTTCTTCTCTCTGAAATCAATAAAAACATTTTACTAAAAAATGTTTTATGTAGATATTTTTAAATATGTATTTTTAGATTTATCATTTATAATTTCTACAATAATTGATATTGATAGTTGTAATCTTTATAAACAAATGGCTCTTTGGAGTCCTCAAAATCTTTTTTAAAATATATATTTTATTGATTTTTTTAAAGAGAAGAAGGGGAGGGAGAGAGAGAGCTAGACACATCGATGAGAGAGAAACATTGACCAGCTGCCTCCTGCACACCTCCTACCGGGGATGAGTTCGCAACCAACATACATGCCCTTGACCGGAATCAACCTGGGACCTTTCAGTCTGCAAGCTGACGCTCTATCCACTGAGCCAGTCCGGTTTTGGCAGAGGTCCTCAAAATTTTTAAGAATGTAAACCTGGGGATCAAAAAGTTTGAGAACTTCTGGTATGAAGAAACTTGTTGGATTTTGTTTTAAAATTATGTACAGTGGGGAATTCTATGTAATTTTAATTAATTATCCTATAATAAAGCAAAGGAAATCACCGTATGTTTTCAGAATATCCTCATAAATTGGATGAGCAGTATCTCTATCGTGAAATTCTAATCTTCGTTCCTTTGAATTTTATTTAACCGAAAGAAAAGCTCTCACGAGTAAAATAGGTCTGCTTATTATTTCTAAAGACATTTGTCTAAAACTGAGGAGAAACCTCATAATCAGTGAGATCCTCTATAATTCCCAGTGTTAAAGAAATGCAGCTTGTAATTTTTGTCTGCCTCTTTAAAGAAGGTGGAGCAGGGCTGCAGAGGGCTGATACCCAGTGGGGAGGCTGTGCTGCTCACCACAGCTGTCCAGGACAGCCCACTCTGAAATAATTAGCTCAGGCAGCAAATGGAACCACTGTGAGCTTGTTATTGGGACAGGATGGGAAAGGCCTCTCCTTGCATCCTGGTGGGCTAAAAGCAAGTAAACAAACATGTAAGACAAGATAACTATGGTTGATGATAAATGCCATTAAGAAATAAAACTGGGTGAGGTGACTGGTGACTGGCTGGTGGGCTGCTCTCCCCGGGGTGATCGTGGAGAGACTCTGGGAGGAGACCTGCTCAGGAGCCCTTGAAGGTGTGCGGGCAGCACGTGGTCCAAATGAGGTGGCCAGCGGGTGTCACAGGAAAACAAAGGTGCCCCTGTCACTGAGTGAAGGCAGTTAGGAGGGAGGTGAAGAATAAGAGTGAAGAGGGCCAAGCGGGGAAGGTGGCCCATGAGGAGCAGTTCGTTATTCAGATTATGTGAAAGGAAAACACGGGTGCATTTTAAACAAATGAACATGTCCGGCCGGTATTGCTCAGTGGTTGAGCATCCACATACTAACCAAGGGGTCAGGGTACATGCCCTGGATTGCAGGCTGGATCCCCAGTAGGGGGCATGCATGAGGCAGCTGATCAATGATTCTCTTTCATCATTGATGTTTCTAGCTCTCTGTCCCTCTCCCTTTCTCTCTGAAATAAATAAAAATAACATTTTAAAAAACAACAGCCCTTGCCAGTTTGGCTCAATGGATAGAGCTTTGGCCTGCGGACCTAAGGGTTCCCAGTTCTATTCCAGTCAAGGGCATCTACTTCGGTTGCAGGAGACGACCAATTGAGTGGGTTTCCTTCGCATCGATGTTTCTCTCTGTCTTCCCCTCTCTCTTCCACTCTTTCTAAAAATCAATGGAGAAATAGCCTCAGGTGAGGATTTAAAAATGAAAAGAAATAACAATAAAATGAACAATACAATCCTATATGACTGCCACAAAGGTCACTATGGTTGCTATGGAAATAGATTGAAGGAGCAAGAATAAAATAAAAATCTAAATAGGTTAATTTCTTAGTTTTAATAAATGATCTGTAATTATTTATGTAAGATGTTAATATAAAGGGAAGGAAGTCCTGGTTTAGATATAGCGCCAAGAGCAGATGAGTTCAGAAAAATTTAGAGGAAAAAATATTCTCAAAACAACTAACTTGGGGCAATCAATTAGTTCTTTTAAAAATATATTTTATTGATTTTTTACAGAGAGGGAGAGAGATAGAGAGCTAGAAACGTCGATGAGAGAGAAACATCAACCAGCTGCCTCTTGCACACCCCCTACCGGGGATGAGCCCGCAACCAATGTACATGCCCTTGACCGGAATTGAACCCGGGACCTTTCAGTCCGCAGACCGACACTCTACCACTGAGCCAAACCGGTTTCGGCAATAAATTAGTTCTGATGGAATCAAATCTATGGTAGGCCCAGCAAAGTAATTTCGGTGCTGGTTCTTAAAACCCACCAGGTGATTCGGATGCTGACTAGTGTATCGTGTGGACATTTGAGTAAGTTCAGTTTTCACAGTACATATTCAGAAAAACCCTTTATAGACCATTGTTTTTGTTTGTTTTTGTTCCTAGCAACATCTCGAATCAGCGATGCACACTTAGCCGACACAATGATTGGCAAAGCTGTGGAGCACATGTTTGAGACCGAGGATGGCTCTAAAGACGAATGGAGGGGAATGGTCTTGGCACGTGCCCCTATAATGAACACATGGTTTTACATCACCTATGAGAAAGACCCGGTCCTGTACATGTACCAGCTTTTAGATGATTATAAAGAAGGTGACCTTCGCATTATGCCTGATTCTAGTAAGTATGAATTGACAACTTTTATTTTTGATTATTTAAAAGTAATTTGAATTTTAGAGCAAGATATTTGATAAACTATTTTGCAGATACATTTTTTATTTTAATTAGTAGGGATAAGTCACACATCAAACATAGGTTGTGAAATTTTTACCTCTTTGCCAAGAATAATTTACTTTTTGTAGCTGTTTCCCTGATATGGACTTTGGACTTTCAGATGGATTGAGTATTTGGTATTGGGCTTCTCTCACTAAGCACTGTTAAGCACTGTTTTCAGAGCTCATCTGTATTGTAGCATGTGTCAGTACTTCTCTTTTTATTTATGGGCAAATACAACTCCTTGGATAAACTATATTTTGTTTGGTCACCTGTTGATGGACATTTGGATTGTACTCTGTCTTATTTACTACGAAGACTGTTGCTATAAATATTTCTGTACAAGTTTCTGAATGGGTGAGTGTTTGCAGTTCTCTCAGGCATATATACACCTGGCAGCAGAATTGATGGATCGTAGTGATCACTCTCTGTTGAATTGTTTAGGGTACTGCCCGACTGATTTCCAACGGTTGCACTGTTAAACATTCTCATCAACAGTGTGTGAAAGTTCTGGATTCTTCAATCCTCACCAACACTTCTTGTTATCTGACTTTTTTATTTTATTGGTTGTGAAGTGATATCTAATTTCCCTGATGACTTAAGATGTCAAGTATCTTTTCATTGTATGTCTTTGGAGAAATGTCTGTCCTTTGTACTTTTTTCAACTGGCTGTCTGTTGTGTGTTGAAAGAGTCAATATTCTAGGTACAAGTCTCCTGTCAGCTGCATGATTTGCAAATACTTTTATTTCATTCTCTGGGTTCTCATTCACTCTCTTGATGGTGTTCTGAAGTCCATTTTACCTATGATGTTTGCTGGGGTTTTTTTTTCTTTTCTTTTCTTTGTTTTTTTTAAAGTAAGAGTTACTATTTTAAAAAATATATATTTTATTGATTTTTTTATAGAAAGGAAGGGAGAAGGATAGAGAGCTAGAAACATCGATGAGAGAGAAACATTGACCAGCTGCCTCCTGCACACTCCCTACTGGGGATGTGCCCGAAACCAGTGTACATGCTCTTGACCGGAATCAAACCTGGGACCTTTCAGTCCGCAGGCTGACGCTATATCCACTGAGCCAAACCGGTTTCGGCTGCTGTTTTGTTTTTGATGTTGTATCTTGTAATCTGTTGACAAACAAACCCAAGGCTACAATGTTTTCTTCTAAGAGTCTTCTTAGAGTTATGTTTTCTTCTAAGAGTCTTAAGTTTTATTTCTTAAGCTCTTCTATTTAGATCTTTGATATGTTTTGAGTTAATTTTTTTGTTTATAATGTAGCTTAAGGGTTCAGTTTTATTCTTTTGCATGTGACAATACAATTGTCTGAGCACCATTTAAAAGAAAACAAATACCAAAACAATTCTTTTCCCTATTGAATGGTTTGGGCACCCTTGTTGAAAATCAATTCCATATAGATGTATGGGTGTATTTGTGGACTTTCACTTCTTTTCCATTTGCCCATATATCTGGTTATACTTGATTAAATTGTTTTGTAATAAGTTTTAAAGTCTGGAAGTGTGAATCTGTCACACACACACACCGATTGTTTTGCCTCTTCTGAGCCTCTTCTTAAGTCTTTTATTCTTTTTAATGCTATTGTGAATGGAATTAGCCTGTTCCTTTTAAGACTACTCCATATCCTTTCTTCAAACACTGGAACCCTGGACAGACACAGACACTCACTATAATAATAATAATGTGACTGTATCTGTATTACCTTTATTTTTTTTCTATTGATTTTTAGAGAGAGAGAAACAGAAACATGGACTTGTTGTTCCACTTATTTATGTATTCATTGGTTGATTCTTGTATATGCCCTGACTGGGTATCGAATCCAAAGGTGGTGGTATCCCATGGCACTTAGGGATGACACTAACCAACTGAGCTACCTGGCCAGGCCTTCTATTCCCCTTTTTCCAGTTATTTCTGTGAACAAGCTAGTCAGTGAGCCTACTCACGTGTTCATCAGGTCCTGACTGTCTGCCTTCTAGATTGTTTTTTTTTTTTTTTTAATGTTTGTGTACATTTGTTACAGGTGTGTAAAGTATTTATATAGGCAGTAGTTACCATGAAAGCATTTCTCAAGAGCATTATTCCAACCTGTATGAAGTTGATTTTTTTAAAGAGATATATCCAGTCAGAGTAAGTGTTGTGGACTTTGATGATAGAAAGTGTCTGGTCATTTGCACATTACCCATCTCCTCTTCCTCCCAGCCACTTCTCCGCCCTGCCTTCTCTCTCCAGACGCTAAATACTTTTGTGAGTGGCATGGAAGCCTGTTTGCCATTAGAAACAGTGCTGATGCTCTGAGTCAGAGCTCTGCAGTGGCCTCTGTGAGTCCCTTGTTTTCTTTGCTCATTTACTGTAAAATGTCTGGGAACCATGCCTTTGGGATTCCTTTGTAAACATGGAAGTGGTGGTATGATGCTGCTACTTGAGGCCAAAGCATTTTGAAGAGATTTCAGCTTTGGTTTCCTCTTGTTTAAAAAAAAAAGTATTGATAAGATATGTGTGCTCAAACATTTTAGTTGTATTTTCTGTCTCTTAGTACCAGAGATCAGAATAGGGTGTGGATCGTGTTATTCAATGAGAGAATTCGTTGTATTCAGAGGCAAACTACTGTTAACATGATAATGATCCAAACCAGGATCCCTATAAGAATAGAATTGTACAGGTATACTGCCAATCATTGTGCCAGGATGACCAGCCTAAGCTTGGATTGCCCTGAGAAAACCAGATATCCAGTTGCCCTATCTGAAGGTACATGGGAGGAAGCGCAGTTCTTCAGGACCTATTAGAGGCTTCTAAAAATAGAATTGTTAATTGCCTTGCCTCCCTTTCCCCTTTTTTCTCTTTACATTGTTTCCTGTTGTTGTTGGTGGTGATGGTTTGCTCTCATTACATGTGTATTACCAGAACAGAGATCCTGCGAGGTCATAGGCTGTGTTCCCCCACACTGAGCTTTTCCTGGGGACCTTTAAAAAAAAATACAGGTGCTTCAGCCATCCTGGGAGACTCGGTTGTAATTGGTTTGGGGATCAAGTTCACTTACCACCTAATTTTAAAGCATAGGAAGTCTTTTGTTTTCTTTTATATTTAATTTATTGGGGTAACATTGGTTAATAAAATCATTGAGGTTTCATGTTTACAATTCTTTAATACATCATCTGAAGAAATAAATCTCTTTTGTTTTGAAACTGGGTTAGGAAAGCAATGTGTTGAGCATAAAGAAGCTTAAAGACCACAAGTATTATACTTAGGCATTTTAAATGTGTAGCATATTCTCAGTAATCCCCGTAGGTATTACCTGCTTTGAAATCCTATTCTAGAGTAACTTGGGCTTATTTTTAAGAAGGCATATTATGCCGAGACCAGTTTGGCTCAATGGATAGAGCGTCGGCCTGCGGACTGAAAGGTCCCAGGTTTGATTCCGGTCAAGGGCATGTACCTTGGTTTCGGGCACATCCCCAGTAGGGGGTGTGCAAGAGGCAGCTGATCGATGATTCTTTCTCATCGATGTTTCTAACTCTCTATCCCTCTCTCTTCATCTCTGTGAAAAATCAATAAAATATATTTAAAAAAAAAAGAAGAAGGCATATTATTATTTATATTTTTTTTTCTTTGGCCCTTCATTTAGTCCATACCTCTTCAAGTAATATAGCCATAATTAAACATAAGCCAAGGGGATTTGTGGTTAGCACTCTTTTTTTTTTTTTTTTTTAAATATATTTTATTGATTTTGTACAGAGAGGAAGGGAGAGAGATAGAGAGTTAGAAACATCGATGAGAGAGAGTCATCGATCAGTTGCCTCTTGCACACCCCCTACTGGGAATTTGCCCGCAACCAAGGTACATGCCCTTGACCGGAATCGAGCCCGGGTCCCTTCAGTCCCCAAGCCGATGCTCTATCCATTGAGCTAAACCGGTCCCGGCTGTGGTTAGCACTCTTAAATTTGTTTACATGTCTAGATCTTGAGGATCAGCACACTGTTGTTATAAGTGAAGTGTTTGTTTGTTTTTTGTTTTTACAGATTTGAGAGAGAGAGAAGCATTGATTGGTTGCCTCCCGTGCGTGTCCCAACCAGGGATTGAACCCACAACCATTTAGTGTATGACCGACTGAGTCACCTGGCCAGGGTAGTAAATGAAGTTTTGCTGGCACACAGCCACACCATTCATTCGTGTATCACCTGTGGCTGCTCTCACCACAAAGCAGAGCTGAGTAGTTCCTACAGAGACCACATGGCCTCAAGTCTGGCCCTTGAAGAAAAAATGTGCTGACTCTTGGTCTAGATAAGATAAACCCAGGATATTAAAAATGTTTGTTAAAATAGACATGTGTTGGTATGTATCTAAAAAATGGCTATAAATTATTTTTCTCCACTATTTACATATAGATGATTCACCTCCAGCGGAAAGGGAACCAGGAGAAGTTGTGGACAGCCTAGTAGGCAAACAAGTGGAATATGCCAAAGAAGATGGCTCTAAAAGGACTGGCATGGTCATTCATCAAGTAGAAGCCAAACCGTCTGTCTATTTCATCAAGTTTGATGATGATTTCCATATTTATGTCTACGATTTGGTGAAAACATCCTAGATGTCGTCATGAACTTTGCCAAATTTGTGGAACTATTAAATGTATAATTTGTAGACATAAAGACTTTCTGCTTTCCAGTTTAATGAAAGCTTAAATGTCCCTGCGAACCCACAATCTCTGCCAGCAGAACGGGTTTTGTTCTGAATAGTACAGATTTATGTGAACACAAAGTCTTTTGTGTAAGCAACTCCTTCCTCTTAAAAAGAAGTCTGTCTGTCTGGAGGGGAGTTACAGGTAAAAGTTAAGCTAGTATCATTGTCAAGTAAAACTGTAATCGATTTTATCCATTTCCCCTTCACTCTTAACATTCTCTTATTCTGCTGCCACAATGCAAGCATAGTTTGGTATTTTTGTTACTGCCTCTTTTTTGAGATATATATGTATCAATATCTACCTATGTCTGTGTGTATACATATATAATATATATATAAATGCACACACAGATCTTTGCACGTGTGTACGTGAGCGTACACACACACTTTATTGGCAGTCCTTTCTTTGTGGATTGGGATGAGGTTAAATAATTTCTCCAGTTTAATAGGAGTGCTTGATCCAAGTCAGTCATAATTAACATATTAATACTGTTTACTTAAAATTAAATTTGGGCACAGGAAGCACATAGGGATGTTCAGCTTGTTTCAAAGTTGAAAGTTCAGAGCACCTTTTTCAATTTGGAGGCTTCAAACCATAAGTCCAAATATAAATCACTTCTTAACAGCTAATGACCCACATTAGAATTTTATAAAATAGTTAGAAATCTGGGTAAAAGGCTGCCTTTAAATCTAAGCTTTGTAAATTCTTTTGTTTACATATTTTATCAATTTTTTTTTTTTTTTTTTTTTTTTTTTTTTTTTTAAGCAAAGTCCAGGTGCTTGATCCACACAGTGTAATGCCAGTGTATTTTGGACACACATTGGGTCCATTATTTGTACAAATCGGTAACCTGGATTTTGGTACAGATTGAAAAGCAGCAGTGCACCAGTTGCCTGTGTGTATGTGGCGAGGTCCTGGAAGAACACAATACTTGATGTTAATAATGTAAGTTGAAGAATGACAATGTTGCCCTCGAACAAGTTCTCTGGGACACTTGCATTTTTATTGCTACTATTACTGATATATGATTATGGTCCAAAGGCTTTTCCCCCTGGCTTTCCCCCACAAAGAATGTCTAGGCAAATCCCAGCTCAAACCTCCTGACATCTTTTGGGGTACTGTATGTTCTTGCTTATGATGTGCTGCTTCCATGGACACGGTTACCCCAGGGTCAGTGGCCCACGCTCCTTTGTTGGTGTGACTGATACCACCCTTAGCCACAATCCTTCCCTGGCTTAGTTCTTCACGGCAGTTTTAACTGAAAAAGTGGTTGGTTTAGCAGCAATACACCCATGTGTCGCTTTGTTTTAGATAAGCCACAGCCGTTTGAAAGGTAGGATAAGGCCTTACGTGAAACCAGTCTCTTGGGGAGATTGGAAATCTTACCTAAGATTTGGGTAGAAGGCTGAACACTCTTGTTGTCAATCGACCTCCATCATGGCTGTCCTTGCTGTCAGAGATTTTGTAGTTTGAAGGTCTCACGTGTGATTTGCATGATGCCCACTTCGCTCCAGGAAGGCTGCACCTAGTGCTGTGGATGGTAGCCCTGCACGCCATAAACGTACACACCACGTTTCCGACAGCGCATCCAGCGCCGCCTCGCAGCAGCCAAGGGCCAGCTTCTCCAGCAGAGTTACCTAGGTCTTAGGTACTCTGCCTGTGAACAGACCAGTGTCATCGGCACACCTGTCCGCTGTTCTCCTGGTGGCTCTTGGAAGATGCCTGCATGTGAATCTAAGGCCAAGCCTGGCTCCCCAAACCCAGTGGACACGTGGCCCAGAGAGGGAGTGTGTCTAGAGCGTGCACTACACAAACAGCACAGTGACTTGGGGCTGAGAAACCAAGCTCACCAGAAGTGTCCTGCTGAGGCCTGGTCAGTGGAAACACTTCTAGCATTCCTTAATGGCTTGCATTGTGGTCTTTCCACAAGTACCCTTAGCAGCTTCTCGGTGCCACATGGTCTGCCAATCTAGATGAATGTGACAAGTTATTTTAATTATTGTTCCATTTTTTGCCTTTAGGGGTGAAGGAAGGGAAAGGGTTTTTGTTGTTCGTTTTCCATCTTTTTTTTATTTTTATTTTTATTTTTCGTGTGTGTGTGTGTGTGTGTGTGTGTGTGTGTGTGGCTTATACCCTACTTCCTGATACTGTGACTTATTCTGCTCCCTAGCCAAATATATCAGGCTCCATTTTAGGCTCATGTTTCAGATCTGCATGCATTGCTTGCGTTTTCCTGGTACCTGAATGTTGGCTCCTTGTCCTAGGAATCCAACATTGATTTCCAAAATTATCATGGGACTTGTGACAACACAAGAATCTGTATAAAATGTATTGACCTTCCTCATCGACCTGCTATAGTATTATTGTGTCGTGTGTGCGTGTGTGATGTCTGGCTGCCATGTAAAGCTTCAAAGGAAAACCTTAAAGCAGACCATCCCTTTTTGCATGCTCTATTCTAAGTAAAATGTTCAGTGTAACTAATGAAAAATGCATGTTAAAGATATTTAGGGGTTTTTTTTACCTTTGTTTTTACTTGTTTTCAGTTTTCTGTATATTTGCTTACTGTGCTGTTTTAGTGGTTGTAGGATAAAATGCACTGGTGAAGCAATGTAGTGCCAACAGGAGGTGATTTTCCAGTTGTGTGTGTCATGCAGCATTTGAAGGGACTGTGCATCTTAGAACAATCACAGTTACCTCTAAACTAGATTTCATTTCTGTTCATTTACGTGCCAAACCCCAAAGTGCATTGGGCTTGAATCTCTGAAAGCTGTGGACCCATTGGAAGACTGTTTTGATTGTCACAAATTGTAGTGCCTGAAAACATTCTTAAGTGATTGTCTTTATAAAAAAAGAAAAAGAAAAGAAAGTTTTCCAAAGACAAAACAGGAACAAATAATTATGGTTGAAATGTCTGTGGTTCCTTGGAAATGCTGCGCATTTTGTATTTCCCATCATTGTAGTGCAGTTTGAATGAATGTGTATAATTCAGAGGTCTTCGTGTTCACATCTTAAAAGTAGGTAATGGCCTCATCTTTCAAGCTTGAATTCATTTTTAATTTTATTTTATACAGTGTGTAGACAGTTCCCTGTTCTCTGCATTTAGAAGTATAAACAATATAAATCTGTTAATTCTGTAAGTAATTTTTATAATTATGATGTAACTCTATCCTATCCTTAAAACATTTAAAATAAACCCTTTATGTTCAACTTTTGACTATAAATTTTGTGCTCATGAGCAAAATGTGATGTGTAAAACCTGCTTCTAAAACAGTTTTTAAAGTTTTACTTTAAAATTTTAAGTGACCTTTTTTACCCTCTTCACCTCGTGTAAATGTCAGATATACATAAAAACAGAAATAGAATTTTTATTTGAATGATAATTAATAATATCTGAAAGGAGAGGGGACATTAATCAGTATCCCAAATATATACATAATTCCAAATATTAAAGTGTGATTTGCCATTAAGAAATTTTAATTTATCATAAAATTTTTAACTTGTTTAAATAGAATTAAATATGTATTTTATACTTTCATATCTATTCTTTGTATGCTGCTTATAATGCTTTATGAATATTTAAATAGCAATCTGTGAGATTCTGTAGTAAAAACATCTTCATTTCTCAGTAGTAAGGACAAAGAAATGTAGGTACTACTGTGACCTATATGTATTTTGTTTTGCCCACCAGCTTAATTTTAATCAGAGGTGAAAAGCAGAGTTTTTGAGATTCGTTGTTATGTTTCCTGGTTGAGATTGGCTTGTCTTGCACAGCCAGGGGGATGAAGGCGTCCTCCTGGCTCTGGCGGGAGGAACTACAGACAATGTGGGGGGAGATGAACCTGGAAGCACAGGGGCTCCCCTGGGTCGGACCTCAGTTGCAGTCTTGTGGTTACGGAGCTACAGTTCAGGAAACCTTTCTCCCAGAGAAGAACAAAGCAAGTTTTGTCTGAGTATTGGTGGTTGCTGTCGGCTCTTGGTCAGGGTTCATCAGTCGGGTCTGTTGAGAGCAGTCCTCACTCCTGGGGAGCTGCAGGGATGGGCCTGCCTTTTTGTTCCCTTCCGTCCTCACAGTCACAGCTCTGTGGTCACAACGGCACTCGCAGATGCTTAGCAAGTACCTTGCCAAGTACTTTCCTCCATGGCGTCATTTAGTTCTTAATCTTGTGAGGACAGCGAGACTTCCGTGTTGTACAGGTGGGGAGAGGGGATGCTGAGTATGTGTCCAGGATCACAGGGGCTGTCGGGACTCAGACCTCAACGCTGCTGTGTCAAAGCTGCCAACGTTAAATTACTGCAGTGGGATGATTTGAATAATAGTCTAATTTCTGTGGATAATTGTTGTAACCTTATTAGTTAATAGTAAAAACTTTTTATTTCCAAATTGCCTAATAAAAAGTCTTATACTGGCATTAGTCACTAGAATGTAGGAATTTATATCTCTGTATAGTAAGAATTAGAACCCAAAGTTATTTTTTCCCAGCAAAAATAAATTTTATTTTGGAGAGAAGTCTGCTGAAGAAATTTAAATAATTTCCATTACAAGAATGTAGGTAGGCTTAGTGAATAGAGCATCAGTCTGCAGACTGAAGTAATCCTGAGTTTGATTCTGGTTAAGGGCACATGTCATGGTTGTGGGCTCAATCCCCATTTGGGGGGTATGTAAGAGGCAGTTGATCAATGATTCTCATCATTGATGTTTCTATCTCCCTCCCTCTCGCCTTCCTCTCTAAAATCAATAAAAAAAAATAAAATGTAGGTAATATTTTCTATTTCAAAGATACTTTTCAAACATGTCATTAAATTAATCCTATATAATAAAGAGCTAATATGCTAATTAGACCAAACAGCAGAACAACCATCCGGACGACCTTCCAGATGAAGCTGGGGCTGCAAGGACCAGGCCCCTTGCACAAATTTCATGCATCGAGCCTTGAGTATTCATATAAGATGTGGATTTATGTCCATAGCACAGATTTTAAAAAATGTTTAGTTGATTTAAGAGAGAGAGGAAGGGAGAAGGATAGAGAAATAGAAACAACAGGTTTGCAGTCAGAACACAAGTGTGGATGAAAACCAACATTAACTCAAACCCAAGATGGGAAAGGAAAAGACATCAATGTCGTCGTCATTGGACACACAAATTCTGGCAAGTCTACCACTACTGGCTATCTGATCTACAAATGTAGTAGGATAGACAAAAGAACCATTGAGAAGTTTGAGGAGGAGGCTGCTGAGGTGGGGAAGGGCTGCTTCAAGTATGCCCGGGTCTTGGATAAACTGAAAGCTGAATGGGAGTGAGGTATCACAAATACTATGTGACCATCATTGATGCCCCAGGACACAAATTTCAAAAACATGAGTACAGGCACATCTCAGGCTGACTGCTGTCCTGATTAGTTGCTGCTGATGCTGAATTTGAAACAGGCATCTTCAAGAATGGGCAGACCCGTGAGCAAGCCCTCCTGGCCTACACACTGGGTGTGAGGCAGCTGATTGTTGGTGTTAACAAAATGGATCCCAGTGAGCCATCCTACAGCCAGAAAAGATACGAGGAAATTGTTAAAGAAGTCAGCACCCACATTAACCTGTTAACCGGGGAGTTCCCTTTTTAATGACGCAACCTGTAACGGGCACGTACTCTTTCACTAGGACACATGTCAGTACGTCACGCCTGAAGGACGTAATTTCATATTTTTTGTTATACTTAATGAACATAAATGAACGTGTATATATATGTGTGTGTGTGTGTGTGTGTGTGTGTGTGTGTGTGTACATATATATATGTATATATATATATGTATATATATATGTATATATATATATATACATATATATATATATATATGTTCATTTATTTATATATATAAAGCACAAAGGAAAATACAAAATTACAAATAATAGAAAAGAATACCGACAAAAAAATGGGCACGTCGAATTAAAAAATTATAAATTTTACAAACAATGATAAAGAATCCAAAAAATAGCCGAAACTGGTTTGGCTCAGTGGATAGAGTGTCGGCCTCCGGACCTAAAGGTCCCGGGTTCGATTCTGGTCAAGGGCATGTACCTTGGTTGCCGGCACATCCCTAGTGGGGGGTGTGCAAGAGGCAGCTGATTGATGTTTCTCTCTCATTGATATTTCTAACTATTCCTCCTCTTTCCTTCCTCTCTGTAAAAAAAATCAAAATATTAAAAAAAAAAAAAAAAAAGATTACAAAAAATATATACTGTCCCTCTCGGGGCACAACATATATTTCAAGGACATATTCATACATCCTACCCGTTCCCGATATTGTTTACGTTTGACGTATTTATAGGTCCCGCTCGGTTAACAGGTTAAGGAAATTGGCTACAACCCTGACACTAGCATTTGTGCCAATTTCTGGTTGGAATGGTGACTACATGCTGGAGCCAAGTGCTAATATGCCTTGGTTCAGGGGTGGAAGGTCACCCGTAAAGATGGCAGTTCCAGTGGAACCACGCTTCTTGAAGCTCTGGATTGCATCCTGCCACCAGCTCATCCACCTGACAAGCCCCTGTGTCTGCCCCTCCAGGATGTCTACAAAGTTGGTGGTATTGGAACTGTCCCTGTGGGCAGAGGGAGACTGGTGTTCTCAAGCTCGGCATGGTGGTCACCTTTGCTCCAGTCAACGTTACAACTGAAGTAAAGTCTGTAGAAATACACCATGAAGCTTTGGGTGAATCTCTTCCTGGGGACAATGTGGTCTTCAACCAACGTCAAGAACGTGTCTATCAAAGATGTTCGCCATGGCAGTGTGGCTGGTGACTGCAAATATGATCCACCAATGGGAGCAGCTGGCTTCACAGCTCAGGTG